AACTTAATTCACTTTAGAACAGACTGAGCTTCATAAGTGAAACCCTAACTTTTCACGCCTTATCCCAATCTCACAAAACTCCAATATATCTTTATAAAACTCCAACATAACTTCTCCAACTAATATGGATAAAGGAAAAATGTCATGAATATTTTACAAGACAGAAACATGAAACCCATTTCTTTGTCTTCCTCTTCACATTTCTGGTACATACGTGAAACATTTTCCACCATTCGTTTTATGTGTTATGTTGTTCACTACTATAAAATATACATTTGGTAACACCACATTACTACGGCCGTTAAAACAATTGTGAATATGACTTATATTTTATCATGGTTTTTGTTCCCAACCGTGGTGATAAGTGCTATATATATATATATATATATATATATATATATATATATATATATATATATATATATATATATATATATATATATATATATATATATATATATATATATATATATATATATATATATATATATATATATATATATATATATATATATATATATATATATATGTGTGTGTGTGTGTGTGAAGTTATCAAGCTTCAGCAAATAATAATCGTCTCTCTCAAAATAGAAAAACCTAACATCTCTCTCTTCCATATCGAGCGAACTCGTCTCTCTTCTTCTTCCACAAAACTCGTATTTCTTCTTCTTAATGCTAAAAGGTAATCAAGTTCAACATTGTTTCTTCTTCTTCTTCTAAAACGTAATCATCATCTTCTTCTTCTTATTCTATTTTTCTTTGAATATGTTATAATATTCATCACTTTTGAAAAACTTTCAAGGTATGTCATTCCTTAACCTACTCCATTCATTTGGTGTTACAAAGGGTTTTCAATTGACATAGTGTTTTTGGTTTCGGTTTCACGTGATTTTCGTGTTTTTAGGCTTGTCTCGACTTTGATCACTATTTTTCAAATGATCACTTCATGTTTAACAGATTAAAATACAATATAAATGGGAAAGAAATTATCATGTTTATCCCAAGTATGACTATATTCTTCTTAAATGTTTTTTTTCAAACTTTCCAAATCTCACTTATGTTTTCACTTATGTTTAACATGGTATTGAATGATTACAATGTCATGCTAGTTTATGTTACCAAATGTGGTTAACATGTTGTTTGTAGGATTATAATGTCATGCTAGTTTATTTTACCAAATTTGGTTAACATTCTTTAGGATTACAATTTCATGCTAGTTTTTGTTACCAAATTTGATTAACAAGCTTTTTGTAGGATTACAATATCATGCTAATGCATTTTTACTTGTAGAGAAGGTGAAAAAAAAAACTAACTCAAGTAAGTGCATACTATGAGTGTGGTTCAAAAATTATTTGTGTTACTATGAAGAAAAAATACAAGGAGGATGAAGCGGAATTGAAAGTTGAAAACTTGTGTGAAAGATCCAGAATGACAGTCATTCAAATTTAACATTTCAGCTTCAACCTCCTTTCATTATGGATTCCATTCTGAGACAAGTAGATCATTTATTCATATTCATTCTCCATGAATCTTTTCAATAAAAGGTATATTTGTGAAACATTTTATGAGTTGATATGTTGTTGTTGTCCATGATGTTATCCTTGTTTAGGTTTGTTCATGTTTTTGTATGTCCTAGAACAAACTTGTTTGTGCATCTAGATGTGATTTCGTTCAACTCTAACTCTAGTTGAGTTTATTATATTATATGAAGATTGCTTGTATCACTAACCCATCACTGGACATACATTCATTTAAATTGATTTAAAAAATTATAGTTTGAAAATTAAGTTATATTTGAAAACCAACTTAGATCAATCAATGTTTTTTTTAAATTGCACGCATCTTGTAATTCATCTCTCGCTCTTTAACATGTAGAATTTGGTTCAATGCTCCAAATTATTAAAGTAAATGGTTCATTTTCGTCTAGTTTATTTTGAAAAGCATCAATTTATTGAGAAATTTGAACTCATCGTCATCGCTGTCATCATCATTATTTATTCAAATTAGTCAACAAATTGATGTTTTTCAAAATAAACTAGAAGATAACGAATTGTTGTTTTGAAGAAATTCAAGCATTGAACCAAATTTTATATGTTAAAGAGTGAGAGATGAATTACAATATGCATGCAATTTAAAAGCAGGTGGATCGTCTAAGTTATTTTTCAAGAATAATTAAATTTTTAAGATTATTATCTTTCAAATCAATTTGAATGGTTGTATATGTTTATTGGGGGATTAGGAAAAATAAGCAGTCCACATAATTGATAACAAACTACTCATATACATACCACCGTGGTTGGAATATATAACCGTGGTGAAAAGTTAATATTATTCGCGCTTTAATTAAATTGATGTTGTTGGGTTTCGAATCTATGAACTATATATATATATATATATATATATATATATATATATATATATATATATATATATATATATATATATATATATATATATCAAAATAGTATTTATGTCACCATTGTGATATGTAGCGCGCTAATTAGTTTATCACTATGGTTAGATGCCTTTTATGGAAAGAAACATATTTACAACCACTTCCTACCTAACCACGGTTGGTTAACCGTCTTGGTATCCTTTTCCAACCATGGTGAAAGGGTATTTACGTAGTAGTGGTTGGTGTTGTTGTTAAAATAATTTGTCCTTTAGGGTTTGTTGTTTTTATTGTTGTTAAGATGAGATTAAAGATTTTATGTTCTTGTTTTTGTTGAGATAAGTAAAAGGTTTATGTTATTGTTGTGGTTTTTGTTAGTTATGTTATTGTTTTTGTTGAGTTGTGTTGTTGTTTTGTTGATACAAGTAAAAGTGTTTTTGTTAATATTGATGTTTTTGTTGATACAAGTACAAATATTTTGTTAATTTTGATGTTTTTGTTGAGATAAGTAAAATATTTCTGTTATTGTTGTAGTATTTGTTAGTTACGTTGTTGTTTTTGTTGAGTTATGTTGTTGTTTATGTTGGTAAAAGTTTTTTTTTTTTTGTTAATGTTGAGTTATGTTGATGTTTTTGTTGACAGCAGTAAAAGTTTTTTATTAATGTTAATGCTTTTTGTTGAGTTATGTTGTTGTTTTTGTTGAGATAAGTAAAAGGTATATGTTATTGTTGTGGTTTTTGTCAGATATGTTTTTGTTTTTGTTGAGTTATGTTGTTATTTTTGTTGATACAATTAAAAGATTTTTGTTAATGTTGATGTTTTAGTTGAGTTATATGTGATGTTTTTTTGTTGAGAATTTCTTCAAGGTTCTTAGTTCTAAAATTCAACATACAAACATATTTAGACATACCTCTAAGCTTGAAATTTAGATGGCCAGCTTTCTCCTTCAATTATGAGATGGTTAGTATGAGAAGAGTATTGTCTTGAAGAAGGACTTCAATTTTCTCTTTTTTTTCAACAGCTTGAGATTCTTTAGTCCATTTGAGGTGTAGAATATTATATGCTTCAGCAAGAGAATAATTATATAATTCATCATCATAATCGCCGTAGGTGTCACCATTATCATTATGCACTTGCAGACTTGATCTTATGCGAATAATAAATGTCCCTATATAGTTAGCTTGATAAGATGCACTTTCTTCACTGAACCATTATTAGAGAAAGTGACATTGTAGCCCTTTTCTGTTTTCTAATAAATTTGGTACATTAATCTTAAATATGTCCAAAATCTTCACATTCAAGACACTGAATTATCTTGCCTTTGTTTAGTTTTTCTCCATCTTTTCTTTTACGTTGAAAGTTGACACATTTAGAATTATGTTGTTGATTTTCTTTGACATCTGTAGAGACATTATTCTTCGACCTACTATCAAGTTTTCTCATTAGCTTCCTAAATCTCTTAGCTAGCATAGCAATAGACAATCATATTTTCATCAGCTTCATGTTCTACCTAATCATCACAATCTTCAATATCCACTTTAAATGTCACACCGTTACTAAATTAAGAAAGGCACTCAATAATAGAGTATTGCAAACTAAATACAAAGACTCAATATAAAGAGAATATGACGCTCTAAGATCTTCAACAGGGTGAGTCTTCAAACAAGGAGAATCGTCTCCTTAAATAGAAACCATGACCCATCTGAAAAACTCGATAGGGTTTTGACAAAAAGGTTAAATCTAAAGTCTAACTTCAATCTTCTTCATTAAAAGTCAAACCAATATGGAGACTTGAGTATTATAAGTGAGAGACACACCACTTATGCACCTAAAACCTTAAGGTGATAGGTGAGTGGATTCTCCCACTTATAAATGACACTCTTTAACAAAAGACCTTCTACTCAATACCATTGTTAGGGGCAATTCCGAGGAGGACCCATTTTACACCTGGGACACACCTTTTTTGTGAGAGACACACCACATATTCACCTAAAATCTTAAGGTGATAGGTGTGTAGGTTCTCTTATTTATAAAGTGTTAAATCTTCTATTTTCTAACCAATATGAGACTTCTTCCTCACACTTGATTGTCACACTCCCCCTCAAGTGTGAGTCTATACACAATACCCCCATCAAAAAACTTGTACCGCCGTTGACACCTTGCAACGAAACACCTCTTCTTGAACATTTCGATATTAAGTCGGTTTCTTTCTTGAACCAAAGGTTCTGATACCATTTGTTAGAGGGAGTTACTATGAGCATTGATACAAAGTTGAGGATTATGCACCTTTGTAAGAGACACACCATTTATCCACCTAAAACCTTATGATTTTAGGTGGATAAGTGGCGTGTCTCTCACAAAGATGTCTAATCCTAAATTATGTATCAATACTCCCTAGTAAACTTTCCCAACATAATCAAATTCAATTAAATCTTTTTTCAAACAAATTTAAGATATTCTAGAGTCATTACAATAAAGATTCAGATTAAAAGGCTTTTCAAAATAATGTGCTTTTAGTCATATTCTGATTGAACTAAAAAGGCTTTTCAAAATTACCACATCAAAACCCAAACAAATATTCATTTCAATTTTTGTAGAGCTACATAGTTTATGAAACAGAACTAACATTAGAGGTTTCTAAAGAATTTGAGCATTGGTAGAGTACCATAGGAGTTTCTACCTGCATTCTCATTTGATTAAACCTAAGTGCTAATATAGGTTTTGATAACATCACATAGCTGCTTAAATTCTGTATTTCATTTTTATGGCTACTTCCTCCTCCATAGTCTTGTAAAGATTGTTGTTCTTTGTCATCAACATTTGTTAAAGAAAATTCTCTTGTAACCTTCAAAGGCTTCACTGGTTGCACCCTATTTAAATTTGCCAAATTACACATTATGTTAATAGTTTTCCATGCAAGAAAATCTTAGTATTTATATAGTTTTAAATTGCAGTCGCAAAGCATCTGCATCGCGATCTTTGATACTGCAGAAAATCAAAGGTCTAAATTTCTTTAACAAAATATAAGTAAAAAGACACATGTATCTGGTCTAAATTTGAATCAGATATATGTATTTTTTTAGGGAAGTAGTATGTTGCAACACAAATCACGATTGCAAACATGTATTCATTTTTTGCTATATCAATGATCACGTGTAACTGCGACTGCAGCACTATCTAAAACTACTTTAATTGAACTATTTGAGAATTTTAAGTAGATGGACTAAACCTGCATTCGATCTGGCAAGAGTACTTAAGGAGGTTTGGATTAAACTCGGTACCACCACTGTAATTTTGAAACAAATTGATTATTACTTTGTTGTTGAAAATTGAAGATACTTATATTAAAATGTGAAGATGATGAGTGAATGAAATGATTTACCTAAAACTTGGAAGTGACATTTTAATTGTCGGTCCCATCCAACGGTCGAACTTCAGAGCAGACACTGCTGTCAACATGCTTGTAATCAGTAAAACCTTAGGTTAATTATAATTACAAGAGAAACAAAATGAATAAAATGCGATGAATCCATAAGCATAAGATGCAATGTCATAAGCAGTATCGAGTTTCACTCACCAGGACTTGTGAGACTTATATTACAAGTATCTGCTGCATCAAGAGATTTGATTTGGGTTACTTGCACATTCTGTTGATCATTAGAATTGCATATTGCAGAACCAAATTGAATCGTATTTAAAAATCCACTCCTGCTCTTGGATTGTCTTGAGACTGCTGTAATTGTCTGCTCAACAATGAACTTGTTAGGATATGAATGCCTAATGTACAGTATAGATTTATGAGAATCTAGACATTTTTCTTGTGTTAAAAGGACTCGTCTTCAACGGAGTTTATCTTATTATGTAAACGATTATTTAGAAGACCTTATGAAAATAACTTATAATACTTCGAAGATGTTTTTTTATCTCATTTACGGAGTTGGGATGTTAATACTAGAGGTGAGAAACTGAAACTATGTTGGAACCTGTTTAATTTCAATGAACAATGGCTTTGCTTCTAAAACGCTGAGACGTTAGGTAAACAAGACCATTTCATACCACATGTTCTCGGGTATGGTAACCCTTTGATTCAGGATTTACAAAAATTCCATCTGAAATCCATCATCTTGTGGTAATCCTTAGACTCAGGATTTACAAATTCTCCGAGGAGATTTTGACACCACATATCCACCAAAAATCTTACGATATATGGGATATGAGTCATTTTTCTAATAAACTCGATATTTCTTACATTTCTAATCAATGTGGAACTTTATTGTGAGAGAAACTTGTCTTCATATATATTTTGAATGATGTCAAAAACGGGAGAACTTAACATTTCAGTAATTGAACGTTATCTCTAAGTTTAGTGTGACACTATGTTCATTTAGAAGTCTTAGAATATGTTGGAATCATATTGAAAATTGACTCACGCATCAAAAAGTGGGTTTTATACAAAATTGAATTGCATGTGTCGACACATTCACATTTCAGGTTGACACATGTAGGGATGTCAATTTGCATCTGTTAATGGTGATCCTTGTGGAGATTATCTCTTCGGAGCACCGAAATTGGAGATTTTCCCACACAGAGATGGGGATGGAGGGAAAAGTTCCCCCAATGACACTTTGGGACGGGAATTAGAAAAATACCCTCCGCCCCGTAGATTTCCCGACTCCAACCATATTACTTAACTTTTATATTTTATATTTTATATATTATATAATATATAATTATATAATTTTACATCAAACATATTGATGTATTAAAAAATAAAGAGTCATTAGATGATCATTTTATTTTTTTTATTGTATAAAGTATTGTTTTACTACCCAAGTATCCAACCTTAGAAAAGTGTATCCAATACATAGAATGTAAACACCGTCTCCTCCTTTTATTTTCTCAATTATCTTTGTCTCCTCCATTCATCATCTTCTTGGTTCTCATTATTATTACAACAATCACTCTCCTTTGTTCATTGTGCTTATCATAATTACTCTTCAAATTCACTTTACTTTCATTAGTAACATGTTTTTCATTCAATTAAAAAATTAGTAGTTATGGATTTACCAAACTCACACATAATCAACCACTTGCGCTGGACAACAACGGTATTATAGTAGTAAATTAGCGGAAGCATGGTAGCAACAAGTTATGTTAATATTTATTATTTTTTACAAAAAATATTAGCAATTACAAGCGTTTTTGCTTTTTTTAGTTATTGATACAAGATATATTTTTATTTTTTAAAAAATAAAGATGCTAAATATATTTTTTTAAAGGAAAAAATAATGAAATACTAGTGTCATAATTTTGATCGAAAAATGTAGAAATTTTTTTAAGATTCGATCTCCGTGGGGATCTGTGGGGATGGGGATGGAGGAAAATATTCTCCCATAGCGGTGATTGGAGATGGGGATGGAGAATAAATTTTAGGGTGGGGCGGGGAGCGGAGAAGCATCCTCCGAGTATTCTCTGCCCCGTTGACATCCCTAGACACGTGCAACTCAGTAAATAAACTTTTAGCCTCTGACTTGATTAGGTCGACACATACATCGTACAGGTCGACACATACTGAAGCATTTCTGAAATTGTAGAAATTCTTATTTTATGTGTCGACACATACGATTTTCAGGTCGACACATTCATTGTTGTTTTAAAGCATGTAGTCTCTGACTAGTTGGGTCGACACGTACAGTTCCTCAGGTCGACTCATAAAGCTTAAAATTAACGTATGTGTCGGCACATACGATATACAGGTCGACACATGCTAATTGTTTTGGTCAATTTTTTAAACTCTTATAATTCCAAGTATGTCTTTTTTGCTCTAACTTTCCACAACTATAAATACATCTATCATGTATTATTTACAACTTGATGATACCATAAAATTAGCCTACATTTGCTCTTCATCTTGAACATTCAATCTATGCATACACACTAACTTTCCATTGTAACGATCTATTGTTGGGGTGCCATCTAGACGAAGTTTGATAAGGTCCGATTAGGTTCTTGTGTAGCCGAAGATATTGGGTTGAGATTTGTAGGGGTCTTCATTCGAAAAAACTGCAGATTTATCCTCCAAGATCATTGATTGATTTAGGGGTTTTCGTGCAAGACATTCAAGAGGTAATTGCGACCAAGTGAAGTCCTTTGAAGATAAAAAAACGCAAGGGATCCTTTGGAGATAAAGAACGCAAAGGAAGTAGCGAGAGAACGGTGGATTACAATTGAGGCCTTGTGTTGTAATAGTTGAAATTGACGGTGCGCGGAAGATTTGGAGATAAAGAACGCAAAGGAGTAGCAAGATCCAGATAATGAATTTACATCTATTGTGTTTTGGTATTTCTCAAGATTAAAAGAGGAGAAGAGGTTGAATAAACAACAAGCTTAGGGTTTATGGAGTTGCTCTTGAACACTTCTCTTGTATCAACTTTTTTGCATAGTAAGAATTATCCTAATTCCATTGGGATTAGACGCAAACGTACCCACACGCGAGGACGAAAGTGGAGAACTATGAAGACAAATTCTCACGTCTCTTTTCTTATTGCTTTTACTTGCTTTAATATTCATCAATCAATTTGTCAAATAGCATTGTTATCAATTGAATTGTAAGTAATTTTTCAAACTGTTTTTTATTTACATCAAGTGTGGATATTGCTTATAATCACTTTTGATTATAAGTGCTTTTATGTATCAACACAACTTAAAGGAAAATTCTAAAAATTCACTTGCACACCAAGTGTTTGACAAATTAATTTTGTTTGTTCTTTTAATATGCCATTGGAAATAGCTTTACTAGTAACTTGCTATAAATGTTAAATAAGCTGTAAAGTGATTCAAGCGTATTAACTCAATTGTCATTCTTATTCCATACTCTATTTTATTCTTAAATTTGCATATCCGAGTTTCCAATAAGGTTTGTAAAGACGAATTATTTTGAAAAGCACTTCCGCTCAAACTCTTAGAAAACTAATTTATCTAAACCAAAATTCTCTGGAATTTTAATCGGGTATCTATTCACCCTCACCCCCTCTCTAGATACGTTGTCATCATCTAACAAGTGACATTAAGAGACTTATTCATTTCGGCTTTGACACTCTTTATAAAATGGCTTACAAACCGAAACAGGATTACAAAAGAGCCATAATTGTCACGGGAGAAAATTATAGTTATTGGAAAGGTTGTATGAAAATTCATGTCAACTCATATGACAAAGGTGTTTGGGAAACCATTCTAAATGGTCCAACACCGGTGATTTGTGTTGTTGATGGTGCTACCGTACCAAAGCCGGAAAACTTATGGAATGAGGATGATAATAAGAAGTGGTCATACGATTGGAAAGCAAATAACATCATCGTATCCGCTCTTAGTGTTGATGAGTTCAATCGCATTTCTCATTGTCAAACCACTAAAGCTATGTGGAATAATGCTCTACAAGTTACCTATGAGGGAACTAATAAGGTCAAACAAGGTAGGATTAATACACTTAATCAAGAGTTTGAAATCTTTCGCATGAAGCATGGTGAAACCATTGCTCAAATACAAAAGTGGTTCTCGCATCTTATTAATCGTTTAAATTTATTAGGTAATCCTATTTCCAATGCTATTGCTACTAACAAGGTTTTGAGATGTCTTACTAGTGATTGGTAACCAAAGGTTACCGCGACCAAGGAAGTCAATAATCTTGCAACACTTGATCTCACCACCTTGTTTGAAAAATTAGAAGAACACGAGCAAGAACTCAATTGCTTAGAGAAATATGAAAAGAAGCTTGAGGAAAAGAAGAACAAAGAGAATGACGCTAATAAGGAGGAATGATTGAAGTCAAAAGCTCTCATGAATTCTAATTCTAAGTTCTCAAAGGATGAGCATTATTATAATAGAGATGTTGGTAACTATGATTCGAAAGACGAAGTGTTGAAAAGGAGAAATGAAAAGAGTCTCAACAAAAGAAGAATTGAGCCTAAAGGAAAATCTCCATCTTCTAAGGAAGAAAAATCCAAAAAGAAAAGATTCAAACTTGACGAAAAGAAAAAGAGGAATCAACGCAAGAATCATAATATACCTAGGAAGGCATATATGGCTTGGGGAAGTAACATTGAATCTTTACGCGATGAGGAATCTAATGATGATGATGATTTGGTAGATGTGTACTTTTCAACTCATCTCAATGATATAAGAAATATGGAACACAAATCTTCTAAATATGATGAAGTATGTCTCTCTGGCCGTTATCATAAAGAAGAGAAAAAAAGACTCAAAGCATCTAAAAGTGATGAGATTAATCTCTCTAATCATCATCAAAAAGGTAAGAAGGACAAGATAAACTCTTTCCAATATAAAAATGTTAATGAAATATCTCATCTTGATTTACTTGAAGCTTTTGAAAACCCACATAGAGAAGTTGTTGAATCTTTTAAGAAATTGGCTTCAAATTGACAAATCTTTTCTCATTTGGAAGCAAAAATTTTAGAAACAAAAAATAAAATAGAAGCTCTAAAGAACTCTCTTGTAGGTATTCATAAGGTTAAAAATAATATGGATGATAATCTATTTAACTTTGGTTGTGATACATGTCACATTTGGCAAAAAGAAATCAAAACTCTTAAAGCCAAATTAACAAAGACTCAATAACCAAAAGTTATTTTTACTATAGATTCAACAAAGTTCAACAAACCATTAAATCCATCATATGCTAAATACAGTTTTGTTGAAAAGAATTTGAAAGGAAAAAGTGATATCT